AAATTATACTTTTTTAGTCATTTTATTAGTTAATTTATTAAATCTGTCAACATATACACATTTTTAGTCTCTAAAATCCCTAAACTTATAAATTTAGGGATTAAGATTGTGTATATATTATAAGTTTAGCAACTAAAAATATATATATTTGAATAAATTTAATGGACTAATTTTAAGACAAAAAAAGTACATTTTTTATGATTTAAGAATCTAAAAAAATGCAAAAAAAAAAAGTTTAGAGACTAAAAAAATTTAAAATTAAAAGTTTAAGGACTTAAAAATGACATTTAACCTAATTATAACTATCTTCAGACATATTGTAATAGAACTCAAACATATCCTTTAATTATTTATTTATTTATTTTAGGTTAAATATTTAGCATTGCAGAGGGAGAAAAAAGAAATTAAAGATTTAAATCAAAACATAAGTAAGGTCGTATGTAATTATAAATCATTTAAAATTTTTACTTTAATCATACTAAATTAAAAATTTTAAATTAATAAATTTCAATTCGATGATTATATACTTCCATGGGTTAAGTGTCCTTTTATTATATAAACCATGTGCCGACTTCTGACGTTTTAGGGATAAGAAGGTAATTTCGAATTTTGTTTTTGGGGTCAAGCTACTCGCCAATGAGAACAAAGGAATTTGTGGTCAAAAGCTCCAAAACTTGGTTCACACTTCACGCCACGGCCTTCTGAACAAAGGAATTGTTTTTATCATCCATGGTTTTAATTATACCTTCTCATTTTATCTAGAAACAGATTTGCCAAGAAGTTGCTTGCTTAAGTTCACACGTTTGCCTGTTGCGTGGTGATGAACGGCTGCAGTTTTACACATATTGCTCTTTTCTCATCTCTTTTTTTTTTTTTTAGCAAGAGTAATGATTAAAAAGTTAGTATAAATTAATTGTTAACAATTAGGGATTCGATCCCCAAATCGAATGAACATTCCAACCTCTCAAATGAGGCACACGGTCATTAGATTACTTTTTGGTAGAGTTCACGATGATAGTAGAATTCGAAAGTCCGACCACCTCACCCAAATACTTAAAACTTGGAGTCGAATCATTGGACCTAAAGATCCGATTCGCTCTTTTCTCACCTCTTTTTTTGTTGTTTCTAGATGAAGAATATGCTCCTCGGAATAATTTTCGAATTTAATGGAAACACTGAGGTGTCCATGTTCAATCACCTGGTACCCTCCTTATCTGATGTCACATGCAGTTTACTTTTTGATGATATTTTCATTAGAGTATTTATTTTATTATTTAAATTATATTAAATTATAAAATATAAAATTTTAAAAAATAAAAAAAATTAATATTAATATTTAAAAAACTTTTTTTAATTTAAAAATAAATATTTTATAATTTAATATAATTTAAATTATAAAATAATTTTTTGTATTCACTA